ACCCTGCCTCATCCTATAATGAGTTACATTCAGGGCTACCTTGTTTCTACTTCAATTAACACATAATTTAATCAACATATTTAAATTAGCCCTTTTATTCTTGGGTGGTTATTGGCGCCACTTTCTATACTTGTCTATTCCTATTCTGGAGCCACAATCCTTACAATGCATTTGATCTTTTTAAATCCAGCACATCCTGTCGAGCTGATAGTTAATAAATCACAGTGTCAATTCACTGGTTTTGGATGGCAAAAGCCCATAAATTAGTCCAAGAATATAAATCCATTTTAAAGAACTGTCACCTATTCCCTAGGGTCTCTGCTAATGGGAATCAACGTGGTCTACCAGAATAGGGTGGAGGCAAAGGCTGAAAGTGTCCAGTAGGGAAAGGTATAGGGCTTCATCTCAAGTCACCCAGGAGTCCGTTGAGAGACAGATGGTCCAAATTTCAGCTAGCCCCTTTAATAAGTATAATCAGCCAAAATGTATCATCAACTACGAGTTTGTTTAACCACACTTCCTTCCCACAAGGGAGGATTCTATTAGGGAGAGAAGAACACACTGGGAAATTGCTGTGATTTTTTAAAAAATACTTTTGGTAAAAATCTTTCACCAACCCTCTTTCCTGGCATAGTAAGGTGAGCATATTGAATATAACTTAACCTTTTACTAATGACTCTAAGTTACTATTATAAACATTTACAGCTGTAAATACTGATAGTGTAAGACACAGATGGCTGAAGGGGAACTAATCCTGGGAGACCCTATCACAGCTACATATTTGGGGTTTTTTCTAAGAATAAAACATACATACATACATGTTCATATATTATTATTTCTCATAAATAACATTCATAAATTTTATATATGAGTGTGGATAGATAGATTTAAATTAAACAAAAAATACCCACTAGAAATAGGTGTCAATACTCAGTCGTTCCCCCACCTCCAATATCCTCTCCTGCCCCCAATGATGCCCCCCATGAGACAACTGACAAATAAAACACCCTTCCCCCCAAGAAAGGACATTGAGATTTGGAAACTTTAAGAACAATAACACCTCACGGTTACACTTTAGTTCAACTGTCCACATTACTGTCTTCTTTCCAACCTATACTCCCTTAACTCAGAATAAAGAAGGTCCTAATAGTTAGGTAATAGATGGGAAAGAATCTGATTAGAAGGTAGTATTGAACTGAGCCTTGAATGATGCTAGGCAGAGGTAAGGGAGGAATACATTCTAGGCACGAGGGACAGTCTATACAAAGGCACAAAGACAGGAGGTGGAATGTCATTTATGAGAAACAATAAACAGGCAAATTTGGCTGCAATGTAGAGTGTGAAGGGGAGCAATGTATAATAAGCCTGGAAAGGTAGGTTGCAGCCAGATTGTGAAGGGTTTCAAATGCCAAATGGAGGACTTTGTTTTTTATCCCAAAGGCAATAGGGAGCCACTGGAGCATTTTGAGCAAGGGAGTGACTTGGTCAAACCTCTGCTTTAGTACAATCATTCTGGAAGATGAAACGGAGAGGGGAGAGACTAGGAAGTTATTGCAATAGTCCAAATGATAGGTGACGAGGAATTGAATTAGAGTAGCCCTGTGTGAGTGGAAAGAAAGAACAGACGTGAGAACTACATTGTAGAGGCAGAAACAATGAGACTTGGCAACTCAATAGATATAAGAGAATGAGAGACAGGGAAAAGTGGAAGAGGATGCTGAGATTTTGAAACTAGGTGACCAGTGGTACTCTCAACAAAAGGTTGTTCAATAAGAGTTCAAAAGAGGCGTGCGTGGGTAGGGCATGGGGTAAATAAGTTCTTTTTTGAACGTGATGACTTTGAGATGCCTATGGAATATCCACTTGGAAACGCCCAATAGACATTTAGTGATTCTGGTCCAGGAATGCGAATTGGGCTGGATATATAGAGATGAGAATCATTTGTATAGAGATGATAATTGAATACACATAGAAGCTAATGAAACTACCATGAGAGAGAGTGTAGGAGAGAAGTGAGAAGGGTCTAGAACAAAGCTTTAGGGTTAATCAACAGTTAAGGTGCAGGGTCACGGATAATGAACCAGCAAATGAGGCTAAGGAGAGCCAGACAGGTAGAAGAAGCAAGACAGAATAGTGTCCTGAAAACCCAGAGAGAACAGGGAATATCCAATAGAGCACAGGGATTAATGGCATTAAATGCTGTTGAGATAACGGAGCATGAGGATGAGAAACACACACCTGGAATTGGCACCTGGTGCCTAAGAGGGCAGTTTCTGTTACCCCATGTCGGATTGCTGGAGCAGAGGGAGAGGGTAACCCCACCTTGGTCTCCAAAACTTGTCTCCAGCTGCAGGCACTGGTCCTAGCCATAATGAGAGAGATCATCCATATTGCATTGTATGCCACTACCCCTGAAACTTGATACTGGCCAAAGTAAATTGCAGAATCAGAAAATGTAACAGCCCCAGTTGGTCTGGTCTTTTCTGCATAACCCTGGAGCTAAGCCTATCTGTGGTTCCTGAGTCCTTTCCTGAGTCCTGCCTCACGTTTCCAGTATGGTGACCTTTGGGATTTTTGCTATCCTTTGGTATCCTGAAACGGCATCAGACCCCGATGTACTCTCTGGTTTCCTGGAAGGGAAACTTGCGGCTTGACAATACCCAGGGGCCAGGGTGTGACAGTTGTCAGGAAAGAAGGACAGGCAGAAGAGTAGTCAACAGAACTTTGAGTCCTCAGGTATTTGACCCGTCAGTCAGTCAGTCGATCAAATGTGTCACGGGTACCATAGTGAGTACTACACAAAGAAAAGCCAAAGACAGTCCCTGCTCTCAAGGAGCTTCCAGTAAATCAGAATGTGAATAAGACCAGGAGCCAATAGGAAGGAAGTGTGTGGCAAGAAGTAGTGACACGCTAGATGGGGAGTCAGAATGTGTTCTGACGTGGGCTGTGCTATACCTGTTTGCAATTTTGGGCAAGGTCCTTTCCCACTTTGGACCCAACTTTTCCCTGTGAATATTAGAAGGTCAAATTATATGACAGAATTGGAAAAATCTTAAAATTAGAAGAAGCCTCAGAGGTTATCTCCTCTGATGACTGTGATCAGAAATTTCCTCTACAATGCCCTTGACAAAATGTCACTAAGCCTCTGCCTGGGGATAGGAAGTGACAGGAAGATCACTACTTGCCAACGATAGTCCCCTTCCACTTTGGGGCAGCTGTTATCATCAGGAAATTAGGAAGTTTTCCCTTTCATTGATCTTTCTAGCTCTATAATCTATGTTTATACATCCTAAGTCTAGATTGATACTGAAATACTCCATCCCCTGCTTTCTCTCACAATTTTTTTTCTCCTCTTGCCCTGTCTCCAGCAACCACCTCCAACATCACCTTAAAGTCCTTCTAAAGATTTCCTTAGGGATGCTTAGTTGAGGGCCTATGCAAGAGACTAGACTAGAACTTTGCTCCTTATCAATTAATCAATTAACAAACTTTTATAAATTATGAGCTGTGTGACAGGCACTGTATGGGAGCTATTGGATACAAAACTGCAATGGCCTCTGTTTTCAAGGACCTTACAAGTTGTTGTTAATGCTCATTTACAACATACTAAATCCCATTTCAAAGCACTATTTGGTTATAACACAAGTAGGACTATATCCCACATGCATCAAGTGCCTATGATACTATACAGATTATCTCCTTTATTATTATACACGAGAGGGTTTTAACACACTCACAATATCACCACCTAGCTAAGCAGCTAGGTAGCATAGTGGATAGGGTACTAGACCTGGAATCAAGAAGACTTGAGTTCAAATACAGCCTCAGACATGAATTATGTGACCCTGGGCAAGTCACTTAACCACTCTCTGCCTCAGTTTCCTCAATTGTAAATGGGTATCATAATAGTACCAACCTCCCAGGGTTGTTATGAGAATCAAATGAGATAATATTTGTAAAGTGCCTACCACATAGTGGGTGCTTAGCAAACCTAGCAGATGCTTGCTTTCTACTTCCCTTCCTTCTTCCAATGGGTAATGTAGACTTGTCCTTTACCAACAGTGCCCAGTATCAGAGCTGCAACTAACAGGAATTGTACCTCGAGTAAACCAGGGGGCTGGAGAGGGAAGCATGGCATTCTAATGAAGGGCTAGAGATGACAGTATGGAAAAGCAAAGGTGACACCAAGAAGGAAGCAGCAGTGTTCAACTCAAATAGAAATCCTATGAACAACTGGGAGGTAGCTACTAGAAGCATTTTCATCCCCATTTAACATTAAGATTCAAATAAGTAGACGTAGCTAGGTTGCACAGTGGATAGAGCTCCAGCCTTGAAGTCAGGAGGACCTGAGTTCAAATCCGGTCTCAGACACACAACACACAACACATACCAGCTGTGTGACCCTGAGCAAGTTACTTAACCCCAATTTCCTAGCAAAAAGCAAAAAAAAAAAAAGAAGATTCAAATAAGTGACCTGTCCCCACAATCACATAGATGGTAAGTTTTAAAGGTAGGATTTGAACCCAGGACTCATCTGATTCCAAGTCTAATATTCTTTTTAATACACTATACCTTTAATGGAGAAGCTGGGCGGGGGGAGCCATGTAGAAAGAACTGAGGGAGTTGCAGTGGTGAGATAGCTGATAGGTTAAATGTATGTATGGAAGTTCTAATGGGCAGTTAAATGGTACAGTGGATAGAGCACCAGGCCCGAAATCAGGAAGACCTGAGTTGAAATTCGGTCTCAGACACTTACTAGCTGGGTGATCCTGGGCAAGTCACTTTACCTTTTTGCTTCAGTTTCCTCATCTGTAAAAAAAGCTAGAGAAGGATACTCCAGTGTCCTTGCCAAGAAAATTCCAAATGGGGTCACAAAGATTATATATGCCTGAACAACAGCAACAGATGTGAGCTCTGAGTATTTCTGTCGAACTAACAGAAATCCTTCTAACCACACTTCCTCTCTGTGACCCTCTCCAGGCACTACCCAGGATCAATCACACTCACTCCCCACAAGGTAGAGACCCCCAGGGCATCTTTGGAAGAGGAGTAACCTTGGCATAAAGAAAGGAAATTTGGGAGTGAAGGGGAAGGAAGTCAGGTGTGTAATTCTTGCCTTTTATTTGAAAACCATAGATTTTCCCCCCACTCAAACACTCATAGCTACCTTTCGCTTTTATCAAACTGATTAAATCCCAGAGCTACACCAAATGGAATCAATTTAGCAAACACACTTATTTCAAGACACCCAGACTAAAGCAGGGCCAGAGGCAGTTTAGAGAGAAAGCCTGGCTTTGGGAGGGGAGAGATCAGAGTCTGGGTATGTGTAAAGATATAACAACAGACTATTTCCTCATTTGCAAAATGAGGAGTTGGGTTAAACAGCCTCAGAGGTCCTCTCCAGCTCTCGTTCTGGGATACTATGACTAACAAAACAATTATCATAGGTGACTATCCTAAGTCACATGTCATTCCTTCCCTATGAGGCAGCAGAGACCACCAGAGAAGGCAGGATTGATGGCCCCCCAAAAAACCAACCGAACAAAAAACAGACTCAAACCCAGCACCCAACTTTGAAGAGATTTTTAAAAGCCTACCTGCTCAAGAGTTAAAGGAGTAAGTATTAAGAGACCTCGTGGGCAATAAGGAAATGAACTACCTTTCTAGAAAGAGAAAGTATAAAGTAGAGAGAACAGAGAGGCCCAGGCAGACTTCAGGCAAATTAATAGGAGTAAAAGACGGTGAGCAAGAAATTGCCCACCTTCTAAATTAGATTTCTCCAATTCAACCACTGAAGGCTGATGGGATTCTCTCATTGCTGAGGCCGGAAAACAGAGAAGGGGAGGAGTATGACTACTAAGCACCTCTCTACATTCTTGGCATGAGTGCCCCAGGCAGTATTTTCCTCAGTAAGAACCAAATTAAAAAAGGGGGCACCCAGCTGACTTTGTTACCAGCATGGGGCATTTCTAGAGAGAAGTGGGTAGAGATGGGATTCTCAGAGCCCAGAGTGGACGCATCTTCATGTAACTGGGGCAAAGGCCGGCCCCATCTTCCTCCCTGCCAGTCCCCTTACACATCATCTTCTCCTAGGGCTCAGTAGGGTACTATGTGCCACTCCCCAACTCAGGCCATACCAGATTCATAGCCAGTTCACTAGCTCATTGGGATAGAGCAGATATGCCTCAGGGCTACCCAGAAGAAAGGGCATGTCCATTCTTTTCAAATCCTTGTCCATCCTTTTCTCCGATTCCAATTCTAACACTCTACTATATTCTATGCTAAGTGGCAAAAGAATGAGGACAAGTGCTGTTCAATAAGCAAGAGCTCATAGGATTTACAGCTAGGTAGTATCTCAAAGATCACCTAGTTCAACATTTCTACTTCACAAAGAAACAAACTGAAGCCAGAGATAGAAAAGGGAATTGATTTAAAGTCACTTGAAGGGAAGGGAGAAAATTAGAACAGAGTAAGCAAAGAGGGAGAGTATTCTCATTTTGTTTAATTTGTGTAGGAGACGGTAAGTAGACCAGTCTGGTTGGGACAGAAATTTTATGCATGAGAATGCTGGGAAAAGATTAGGGAGGTAGGTCAGGACCTCATTATGGAGAGCTCTGAATGCCAGGCTAAGGCATTCCAACACTTCACAAGACAGCTAGCCATTATCCATCCACCAAGTCAAACACGGACAAGAGTCCAATTTAGCAGAACACCACTCCAATGAGCAGGACCACTTGATAAACAATGAATTCCAGGCAAGCTCAGAGCTACGAACAAGAGCATGGGTTCAGCACTGAGAGGACCACAGATTAACACTGACACACTGTTACCAGGCAACACAGAGGTACACTGCCATAACAAGACAGAAACTACGTGAAAAAAGTCAACCCAAGGTAGCCAATTGAATTGATAGTGAATTACTGAAATAAGGGAGATTGCAAATTAATTCTACACACACATACATAATAGCTTTTCTCAGTTGATAGGCAGACTCAGAATCAAGGCATCAGATCCATGCACTGGTCCTGAACAGCTACTTCCGAAGTCACTGAAGGAAAAAAATAGCTCCTGACCACTAAAAACAACTAAATCTTCCCAGGGAATATTCCATCTTTTGATTTGGGCTATACCTACATACACTAAGCACTGAAGGAAAGGCCAGATGTTTTTTAAAAAAATTTCCCTGGAGCATTTTTTAAAATTGAGAATATTTGGCCATCCTAACAGCCCAAACATATCTTACACATTTCCACTGGCAGCACATTCCCATGGGAGATGGTTGGAGGAAATGTTCTCACAAAGCACTGATATCCTGCCCACCCCAAGTCAAACGCTGGTTTCAACCACAACTGTATTTCCACTTGAGACACACCTGCAAGAGAAGGAAGGGCCTTTAACCAACCGGTACTATTAGTCCTGGTCAGATAGAACTAAACAAAACATTTGCCAGAGTAGATGTGGATTTGAAGGAAAGAAGTTGATGTGGCTTAGTCTATATGCTTGCCAGAAAACATTAGACACTCTAACTGAATCTCCACACTTTGAAAATGTGCTTTGTTCTAGCCCCAAATTTAGAAATTCAGTTATTATTTATCTTAAGGTTTAAAATATTTGCAGTGCAATGCAGAAAGGTAACATCTTGCCCTCATGATCTAAATGATCCCTTTGACCAGTGGTGTCAAACTCAAATAGAAACAGGACCCACTAAATCTTAACACCTAAGGATCCCTGTGGGCTGCACATTGACTTAGAAAACCTCATGTTAACATTATCTATGTCCTATTGTGCTTTTATTTATTTTGTTAAATATTTCCCAGTTACATTTTAATCTGGTTGAGAGGGCAAGAGCAGCACATTTGACATCTCTGCCCTAGACAGTGAGGCTGTCATCACATCGCATAATTTGTGAACCCCGTTGTACTTCTCATTTAAAGAAAAAACTTTAGGCAACTTGTCCTGGAAAGCCTCTTGACTTCCCACTCACCTAGACAAAAATCCAAGTCCACCATTAACAAGCAGTCACATCAGTACATCCAAGCACTTTAGCATGAACAGGATTGCTGGCACCTTGCCATCATCCTCCCACCAAAACCCTCTCTCTATAAATTCCCTGTTTCTATGGATAGCACCCACTCCCAGGGTCTGGTCATCCAGACGTGAAACCTTAAAGTCATCTCTAACTACTTCCCCTCTTCCTCACTCCAAACATCCCATCAGTAGCCAAGTCATAATTATTCAGTCTCCATAATATTTGTTCTATCTATCCCTCCATCTCCATTCCCACTGCAATCACCCTAATTCAGGACCTTCTCTTTCTCACCTAGATTACTGAAATTGGGTCCTAACTAGTTTTCTTATTGCCATTCTATATCCTCCTTCATGCCACTGCCCAAATAATTTTCTTAATGTACCATTATGCTCATTTCACTCCTATGCTCAAAAACATTCAGTGACTACCAAAACAGAAATTCCTGACTTGTAAAGGTCACAATCTAGTCCCAACCTACCTGTCCACATTTTATCGCATCTCATTTACCTTCATGTCAAACCAAACTTCTCAGCCCACCTGATTCTTATCTTGCCCTTTCTCATCTTTGTGCCTTTGTTGACAACATTCCCTGCATCTGGAATGGACTCTCCTTCTATTCCCAACTGTTGAAGTGTATCCCTTCCCTCAAGGGAAAGAGAAGGGAATAAGTATATATTAAGCACCTTCTATGGGCCAGGCATGTGCCTTTACAAACATTATCTCATTTGATCTCTACCACAGTGCTATTGTTATCCCCATTTTACAACTGAGGAAACTAAAGCAAACAGAGATTAAGGGACTTGCCCAGGGTCACACCACTAGTAAGTGTCTGACCCAGATCTGAATTTAGGTCTTCCTTACTCCACACCCAGCACTCTATCCACTGCATCATCTAGCTGCCTCTAGGCCCCAATGAGATAGTTCACATCCTCCATAAAGACTTCCCTGAATCCCTGGGTAAAAAACTAGCTATTTCACTTTCCTCAGATTTCTCCTTACCCTTTGTTTAGACCTCTGCTTTGCACCTAAGAATTATTTGTGTACATGTTTTTCTCCAATTGAAAGCAATCTCTGTCTCTGCAGGGCCCGAAACATTTCCTTGTGCATTTCCTTGCATAAAGCAGGTGCTTAATAATTGCATATTGAATGAACAGATGAACCATTGTTTTACTCCACTTGGAAGCAATGTAGATGTCATATCTACTTGTCTCTGCAGAGCCTGAAATATTTCCTTGCACACAATAGGTGATTAATAATTGCTTGTTAAATGAATGGATGAACAATATAGGCAGAAGGAAGGCATATGATCTGGAACTGATTACGAGGAACTAGGAATAGGCTTAACTTTTAAGCTTACTGTTTCAATTCATTCTAATTCAAATATTATTTGTTAATCACCTACTGTGTGCACTGTGCTAGACACTAGGGATATAATAATGAAAGGAAAATAGTTCCTGACCTCAAGGAGCTCACATTCTACTGAGGAGAAACAACATTTTTATAGAAAAATAAAATATACACAATAATTTAATGGTTAGGGGAGAACCAGCAACTGAGGGAAAATCAAGAAAAACCTTATATAGCAGGTGACACGTGAACTAAGTCTTAAATAGAGAGAGGGATTCCCAGAGTCACAAAACATCTCAGGAGGGCAGGTCAGAAATCACAAAAACCCTGACAGAGCCCTTGCTCAAATATGTAGTGCAGAAATGGGCTAAGTATCTAGCAACATGAACTCAGACTTGAAAGATTGGAAATGGATTGCACCTTCCAGGAGCAATGCTCAGTGGATTATTCCCACCCAGAAACTCTCCACCCATATACACACAGACATAAGTTCAAGTACCCACAACACATCTGCATATATGTCTGTTGAGGGAGTCAAAGGAACCTTTGCACATAGATAAAGGAAACAGGCCAGATCTCTGCAGGTTTCATTTTTGTTGGCGGCCTGATTCACCTATTCCCATTCCCATCCCAGATGGCTGAAATAGGGCCCTGCACCAGGTGACCTCTCAAAGTTCCTGCTGCCAGGCCTGGCATTATATGTCCATTTCACATTGTCAACTCCTTAAGGGCAAGGACTACATCCAGCCTCTTGGTTCTAAATTCATTATACCATAGCATCCCTTCTCCTGACCAAAAGAAAAGAGGAAAGAAAAGGAGGCAATGTGGGGGGAGGAGAAAGAGACAAAGACACAGACAGAGAGAGACAGAGAGACAGAAAGGAAGAGCAAAGAAGAAAGGGAGAAAAGGAGAGTGGGGGGAGAAGAGAGAGGGGGAGAGAAAGAGGGGGAGAAAGAGAGAGAGACAGAGAGAGAGAGAGAGACAAAGACAGAGAGAAACAGAGAGAGAAAGGAAGACCAGAGAAGAAAGGGAGAAAAGGAGACCAAGGGAGGAGAGAGAGGGGGAGAGAAAGGAAGAGAGAGAGAGAGAGAGAGAGAGAGAGAGAGAGAGAGAGAGAGAGAGAGAGGAGGGAGAGAAGAGAGAAAGGCAGAGAGAGAGACAGAGAGAGAGACAGAGAGAGAGACAGAGAGAGAGAGAGAATCCTAATACAAAAAAAAATTATTTGGTCCAGCATGTAGTTAATGGTGTTGGCTTCCCAAGCCTTACAACTTAATAAAATTGATCTCACTGCAGCACTGTAATGAAGAACAGTAGGATAAAGCTACCCTCAAACCATGAAAATTGTATAGTGTTACCTCCTTGTGACCTCCTAAGGCTGTGGTCATTCCATCCTCTCCAAGCTGTCCTTTGTCTAAACCTGACAGCAGCCTGGATAGAGGAGATGGCGGACAGGGAACCACGTCTGGGGGAGAGTTATAGGTTTGGGGTTTTTTGCTGGCTTTTTTCTTTTCCCAGTGTAGAAAGGACAGAGGGGGAGGGATACTTGGAAACCTGGAATGCTTTCCTCACATAATAAATCATGCTAACCAAGATGCATGCAGAGTCCCTCTCCTCCTAATTGCACCCCAGACCTGCAGTACAGGAGGAGAGGGAGGTCATTAGGAATGCAAATGACCAGTGACTAATGTAACTGAGCCCAGGGAGGAGAAAGGAAGAGATACTCACTATATTCCCCAACAGCCTATGTTTTGAAGGGCCCAAACTTAACATGCAGCCTGGCTCTGATCACTCGAATGACTGTTACAGTCTATTCTGCTTAAGTCAGGAACAAAAGAAGGACAAGATGGCATGAGCCACACTGGGGCTGGGCACCTAGGCAAACCGAGCCCCCACCTTTCCAGCTTGCCTGGGAGCACAGGAATCACAGAGGCTTTAGCTTCCTTTCATGTACACCTCAGTGGCTTCCCTGAGCAGCTGTCCTAGTACAGCATTACCCGTCAGAGGCCTAATTCAAAGATACACCCCCCTACACCCCCGACTTCTCTTCCCCCAGTCACTGAGAGGGAAGACGAAATTTGCCACCTTTCCCTCCAGCCACTGCATTTCCCATGAATGGAGAGATTGTGGAAAACCTTTAAAAATTAACAAGTTCCTAGGGCATGGAGAAAGACTGGTAAGTGGCTGTATTTCGGGGAATACTGAAGTGGTGTCTCGAGAAAAGAAAGCATATCTGATGGAGTGTTTTTCACCATTTTGTTACTACTATGGGAGAAGCAAAATAGTAACTCATTAGGCTTCCAGGAATAAGGCCCGGCTCAAATATTGTATACACAGCCTAGTAAGGGAAAAGGAGAGGTCCTCCTCTAACTCATCCATACCCCAAGAATTAATACAAACAGAATAACTTCACCATCCACTACAAGGATAAAACAAACCTTATATGTTTGTGCGCTTGCTCTCTCTCTCTCTCTCTCTCTCTCTCTCTCTCTCTCTCTCTCTCTCCTCCCCTCAAAAAAAAAAAGGTTTGGGTTATAGGATTTTTTGGTCCAATAATTAGGTGTATGGAGCCCCCAGAAACTTTGATTTAGGAGTCAGAAGTCAGGCCAGAAATGACAATCATTGAACCCACAAGATCGTCACACTAAGAGTTCTTTGTGGGGCTGTACAGTAGTATTAAGTCAGCAATCCCCGCCCGCTAGTTTCATATCTTCTAGATTGTTCTGGATCTGAATGGGGAGCCCCCCGTAGACTCAAACAGCCTGGCTTGAAACCTCTCCATTTCCCATCAGCTTTTGTGCGACTCACTCCAGGATAGAAAGAAAAAAAGAAAAAGAAAAGAAAAAAAGAAAAGAAAACCTTCTCTGCTCACTCACCAAGATACATTTATAAGCAGTGATGAGTACACAGTAGAGAACCAGAAAAAGGAAGAGTGGTTAAGATTAAGTGGAGATCAGTGGCCAAGTGTGCAAATAGGAGAGAGACGCCCCCCGCCCCCCATCTCCAGACCCTGGGCTCTGTGCTGGTCCCTCTACTTGGCGAGGCCTAGAAGTATGGACACACACACACATCTTGCCACCATTCCTTGAATGGCAACTTTCTTGGGATGTCCTTCAGTCAACATGAAGAAAAAGCCTTTTATTAAATGCTGCTAATTTTTTTTTATTGATCATACTATGAGTGATTTCATTTTCCACTATGGCAAACATCTCATACTAGAGGGCTCTAGGATTAAGTTTCTTACTCAGTCTCAAACAACATGTCACTTTTAATCAAATTTTGGTCCTATTATTGCTCAAAAATTAGAAAGCAGTTTCTTTGTATCACTGTTGCCTCCCACCCCCATCTCCCTTTCAAAGTTTCCTTGTGGAAAGGTTATTAAACTTGGAATAAATATACATGCAGAAAGTGACAAGGAAATTCTGCCCTGTCTCTAACCAATTTTAGCATTAGCTTTTATAATTTTTTTAGGTTGATTTTTCACAGAAAGACTGCTCATAATTATTGCTCGTGCTCTCCCAAAACACTTATGTTACTAAAGTGTGAAATGTCTTCTAACACAAAGACAGATCTCTGGGAAGTAATTACAGAAATGCATTCAGGGGCAATAACGCTATATTAACTGTCAGTGGCATACATCTTCTGAAAAGGCACTTGTTATGAAGGAGTTATTTGTGTAGCCGTTGGCGACGGCATCGCGGGCAAGCAAAGACTGAAAGAATACATTAAACGCCGAAACATCAGCTCCCTCATCAAGGGTCAAATTATGTTTAAATCATTACCTTGAAGTCAAGCAAACTCTTACCTGACTGTCTATTGTAAAGACATTTCTGAGACACGCTTCAGCCGAATGTGGTCTCCCTGTATGCGCTATGGTGCAATTACCCGGAGTCTCTAAAGAATTCTGCCAGGAGAGCTTGTCACAATAGGGAGAGCCGAGGATGCAGGGTGTCTATTAAATGCTAACTCGTGTCACCAAACAGAATTTTCAAGAATTATAAATTGCAAAATTGCCTCCCAGCTGACCCCCACACATTAAGAGGATCCCGGAGCATTATGGAGCATAGCTCGAGGATGGGTATCAAAGGCAGGCACCAGAGGAAAGGGTTTCTCTGCTAGGTTGCCTTTTGAATTGAGCTGAACTGAGGGGGGTGAAACAGATCCGCCTCTTCCTCCCCACGATCACCCCTGCCCCACACAGTCTGCTTGGGGCTCAATGCCCCAGCAGCTATCATCCAGAGTTTCATCCAGTGACATCTCTGGCAGTCGAATGCCATAAAACAGAAGCTGTCAATGAATGTGTGTCACAGAGAATTAATGAAGGGGAGAAAGCATGGCAGGAGTGCAAAGAAGCCTCCCAAGTGCTAGGCTAGTCTTCACAAAGGGAACCTCTATTTCCCTATCTCTGAAATGGGCTTAGCCACACTCACCATCACGCTGGGAGGGTTTCCGAGCATAGAGGACTTGGAATAAATTGCTGTCTTCAACTCCCCCTTTCAAAGCTTTTATTTCCAAAGAGAGCTTAGCACTTTCTAAGATCTCTCTAGCAGAATAAAAAGGGGTGTCTTAACATATTGACAATCAAAGAACTCATTTGCCCTGGGAAATGCCAGCTAGAAAGACTCTAGCAGCAACTCTGACAGAGTTATTTCATAGTTCTCTTCTCGCTTGCAGGCCCTAAGATCATGTCTCAGTGGTAAGGAGAGACCTCTAATTCAGCTCTGTAAGTGGAAGGTAGACTTACAAAGCCCATCTCTAGAGGAGAGCAGCTTAATTTACAGGTGCCAGTGAAATGTCCTGAGACAAGGCTGGGACACAGGCAAAGAAAGAAAGGGCGGAACTGGCCAGGAGGGGATTTGGGTCCAGCAACAGGCTGAGTCCCAAAGAGTTAGTTATGGCTTGGAAGGGTCAGCTGGCTATTCACAAATTATGAGGGTCATAGCTCAGTCTAGGGAATCATATAAGGCATGAGAGGCAGCAGGGTGCAATGTAAAGTATGCTGGAGGGGGTGGGCAGTGAGAACAGATGATCTTCAAGGTACCTTTCAGCCCTAAATCTGTTATCTTAGGAACTAAGGTGGTTAACAATGGTACAAACAAGAGAGGCCTGGGAGGACAGAGGGTTAGAAACAGCAGCATTAGCATTACTCAACAAGTCAGAAATAGGAGCACTGATGCAGAGATTGGTTGGAATGCTACCGGCTTCTCTACTCTTAGCTATGTATGTACTGGTGATCCAGGGCTTACAAGTGTGTGTTTGCAGCCTGAGTAACAAGGATCCCACCTGTTCTTGATTGAGGCAGGAGTGGAATTTAAGCCTTCCAATAGGTTCTAAAAAGACCCTCATATGACCAGATGAACCTCAGCTTCTAACACCACTGCTGAAAGGCAGGGTTTCCCACGTTATATAGGGATGGACAGCTGGTATTGTCATATCCTGCACTTATTAAATGTTCTATATAGGTGTCCAATAAACATTAAGTAATGGCAATGATTGAAATAATTGAAGTGCTTCTAATTTTTTTGTGTCATAGTCTGTCTTTGGCAGTTTGGTGAACTCTATGGAGGCTTTCTCACAATAATGTTTTTAAATGCATAAAATAAAAAACAAAGGATTACAAAGGAAACTAATTATATTGAAATAAAAAGGTAATTTTTTTCCCATTCAAGGTCATCTACCCATAGACCCCTTGGGGGTTCATGGACCACAGGTTAAGAACTTGTTCTAGACAAAGACCTTGATAATTTATAGACCCCAAAATATTGTACTAAAATCTGCAAGTTGGAAAGTTTATTTTACACAAACACCCATGAATTCTCTCTCCTCTCTCTTTGTCTTTGTCTCTTCCTTCTCCTCTCTCTGTTTCTTTGTCTCTTTGTGTGTCTGTCTGCCCCCTTCCCTCCCTCCCTCCTCTCAACCTCCCCCCCCACTCCCACCCCTCAGCCACCAGGCTCAGAGTCAGGAAGACCTTGTGGCTCACGGTCAGGAAGACCTGGTTTCAAGCCCATATTCAAACACATACTAGTTGTGTGACTAGGCAAGTGACTTAACTTTTCAAGGCCTCGTGCAACTCTCTAAAACTAAAATATGACAGCAGGTGCTGTCCTTTATTAAAGGGAGTTCTCTATTGGGACCATCATCCCCATCTTATCTATCTCACAAGGTCATTGGGAGGATATTGCTTTGCAAATCTTAAAGCATCACTGAAAGGTGAGTTCTTATAACAGATGTTTTTAACAAATGGTCATCCAGAATTAAGTTCAGTGACAAGGGGGTTCACTAATTTAAGAGTCAACCCATTCCGTTCTTGAACATTTACTATTGGAAAGTTCAGTTGAATCAAACTCTGCCTCTCTCTATCGTCCACGCATTGACTTCAGCTCTGCCTTCCATAACATGACAGATTGAATGTTCTTCCTCTTCAGAATATTTAAGGATAAGTCTCTTCCTCAGACTTTTCTCCCTCAGGTTTTATCCCTCATCATTTAAATCATTCCTTTCACAACATGCCTTACAGACCATTCTAGTCTTCCTCCCTCTACAGTAGACATACTTGAATTTCCAGTGTCCCTCCTAAACCATGATACCCACAAATGAATCCACTGTTCCAGATGTGGCCTGGAGTACAGTGAGCGAACTACTTATTATGATCAGAAGTTATGCTGATGGAACCTCTGGCTATCACAGAATCAAGGAAACTCAAGAATTGGGAGGAACCTTAAAAGTCATCTAGTTCAATCTATATGTGTGAACAGGAATCACCTCTACATGTGGCCACCTGGCCTCCACTGGAAGACTGCACAGATGATAAGAAACCCACTGTTTCCTGAGCTAGCCCATTGTACTTTTGGACAGCTCTAGTTACTAGGAGGTGTTTCCTCATACAGAAGTAAGAAATTTGCTTCTCTGCTCCTCCCACCTGATACTCCTAGTCCACATCCTTGTGGAGGAATCTCTATCTGCCCATACATAAGTGCCCTGCTTTGGCACCTCTGGCTGTTCCATGGATGACAGAGGTGACTTAACCAAGGGAAAAACCAGAGGACAGCATTCTCTCAGCCCACCTACTTCCCCAGCAGCAAAGTAGTCAGTGTTAAAAAGTAATTTACTATTGATTGTCACAAACAAGTCTTACAAATCTGGCAGAGATGACCCAACATCCTACACAGAAATGCTGCCATTTGGAGCGAGGGCTTACAAAATCCAAAAGCTCTCATAGCCATACAGTGTCAGAGATGCTTTGGGGCATCACACTGGAGATAGGAGGGTGCAGCTTCACTCATGCAAGGCCTAAGCTAACTGACACCTGATAATCAGCCCAGAGTGAAATGCACAGCTCGCAAATATCCACCTTCCCCAGGTGATGCACACACGCACAGTTGTCTGCATCTTCTGAGTTTTGACAACACAGACACTCCACAGGAGCCCAACTGGTCCAAGCTAATTCCATGTCTGCTAGCTTCTTCAGACTGAGTGATCAGTTTTGCCCTGGTCTACCTTGAAAACTACAGCCATCTAGAACTATGTGTCCCCTATTCTCCTTCCAGAGTTGGGCTTCGTACGGTATGGCTAAAGATCATAAAAGAGCCACAGCCAGGCAGAGTTAGAAGGAACCTTTTGTGCTCATTTGATCCAGCCTGCTCATTGCATAGATGATAATACTGAGGCCTGAAGAGAGAAGATGTTTGTACAAGGTCATATGCTGAGTGGCAAAGCCAGATAAGAAACCAGGTCTCCTTACTACCAGCATAGCTACATGGATGAGATCCAAGGACCTGGATAAATGCTTTTGTTACACTGGAATTTTATGTGTAGTGCTAAATAATTCAAAAATTTAAAAAAAAAAAAACGACTCCTGCTGTGGGGCTTATACATCTTTTTGTCATGCAGATTTTCACTATAATGGCACTTGTTATAATGGGATTTTTACCTCACTGATTTGAAATTTGTAATAATTAAGATAGGAT